GTCTGGACTGATGGATTCACCCACTTCAAACCAAGCAGGCTGTCTCTCGGGGGTGTGCTCTCCATATCAGGATTGTAGTTCATTCCAGGTGTAGTCAAGTGGAAAATCCAGAATGGCCACCAGACACTCCTTGTCAGAAAGGTCCTTTGAGGAAGATGAGACTCTCACTGTTTACTCAGACCACATCTGTGCCTGTAACTGAATCTGCCTGAGTACATCATTTGACTGTGAAAGGACATGGGTGGACTTGGGGGGTGGGATATAAATTATAAACATTTCCAAAACATGAGAATTTTTCTCTCTAAATGGTAACACTTTCATCAAATGCTATCAAAAACGAAACAAAATCTTAGGCTCAGGAGATGGCTCAATGCTTACTATGACAACAAGAGAACCTGAGTTCAAATCCACAAAACACCCACTCTTTTAAAAGGTGGGCATGACCACTTATGCCTCAGACCCTACCACTCGAGGGTACTGGGGGACAGAGACAAGAGAATCCTGGGAGAGCCACTTATGCACAGGCACCTCCTAAATAATTTATATCCAATACTGCTGTGGAAATGTAGAGAAAACATTCGCTGGTTTCGAGGTGAGTTTATGAAAGACAGTTTTCACAGTGAAGGGGCACTAATCAGCTACCCAAGGCCCCTCCAAGTCGGCATTCTAGAGGCTGGAGAGACACGCCATAACTTAAACGATAATGGGGACTCTGTGCTGGGCCAGTCTGGAGAGAGGGACAACGGTGACAATGCAGAGTGGCCTTCACTCATGACACCGGGTGAGTACTCCAAACTCTTCCTCATGGAACCTAAGACCAAACAGGTCCATGCTTGGCCCTCGTACTGAAGAGAAGTAAGCTGTAGATTACGAATGCAAAATATACCACTGAGGAAATCAGATGGTGTGGCATATTTTTTTTTTTCTGTAATACCTATGATGTTTTACTCGCCTCTGCAAACAAAAGACTGATTTAAGAAAAAAAAAAAAAAGGCAACTTAAGGGAGGAAGAACTGGTTTTGACTCACAGCTTGATGGAACAGTGAGAAGGCGTGGCAGAGGGAGCCGCTCACAGCTGTGTAGGCAGCTGGCGTGTGGCGCTACCCCTTCACAAAGCAGTGGACCAGAGAGCATAAAACGGGGCTCTAAACTTCGAGCGCTACTCCCCAGCTGCCTACTTCCCAAGCTAGACCTCTCCCGCAATGGGTTTCACAACTCACAAAAACAATATCACCAGCTGAGGATGGTGAGCTGGAGGAGGCCATTTTATATTCAAACCATAACAGCTCTCTCCCAGCACGTTTGTGAGACTGTCTCAGAGTGTCTCGGCTTCTGATTGGAACCAGGTAACTCTGGAGGTCCCTGCCCTCCACAGAGGGACCAATCTTCAACTCAGAATCACTCTGCCCTTGGAATCACAGAATCTTGTCCATAGGCCTGTGGATAAGATGATCAAATGCCTAAAATACAAGGCAACCCCGTGTGGACAGATTCCTGTCTTCTCGGGGGATATTTGCGTCCATCCTGATGATTAGACCTATGATGCAGGTAGGGGAAGTGTTCCAGTTTGCTTTCTTTTGCTATGATAAGTGCTATGACTAAAGCAACTTGGGGAGGAAAGGGTTGATTTCCTCTTACACTTCCAGGTCACAGCCTGCCATTGAGGGAAGTCAGGACAGGAACCTGGAGGCAGGAACCATGAGGAAAAGCTGCTTGTGGGCTTAGTCAGGGGGAGCATACTCAGCCTGCTTTCTTATTCAACCCAGGAACATTTGCCCAGGGCTGACCCCTCTCACGTCCATCAAGAAAATGACCCACATGCTCACAAGCCAATCTGACAGAGGAAATTCCTGAATGAAGACTCCCTCAGAGAACTCTGGACTGTGTCGAGGTGGCAGCTGATGCTAACTAGGAGATTTCTGACTCTAAGAAGGCTTTCTGTCTCAGGATGAATCAAAACAAAATTATTGTAGCAACATTAAGGGTAACTCTTTGGCGCAGATGTGTCTATGACTTCAGGGGGAAGTTGATACTAAGGAACCAAAGACAGAGCAAATGTGCAATCAGCCACACAGAACCGACGCCCCCATACCCCAGATCTTTCATTTGTTTAATTTATCCCAGAAAGAATTAACCTGTTCTCAAGTCAACAGAAGAAAAAGTCCTCTCTGATTTCCCATTAAACTGCCAGACAGGTTTCACTAAAGAGTATCCCAAAACAATGGGTTTTTTACTCTCATAAAATGATGAGAATGTTCAATTCTTAGCGGGAAAAGTACCTGCCACTCTGCTTGGCGCTATTTTATCAAGTGCGAGTGTCAAATTCTTTAGAGCTTCAAATTAGCGGCGAGGAGCTGCAATTCCAGTGTTTGTTTGTTTAAAAAAAAAAAAAAAAAACAGCCGAGATTTTTCTTTGTGTTTGTTTAAGCCTCATTTAATTCGGGCTCCAATCTGCCTGTCTTTGATTGCATTTCCAAATCCTAAAGAAAAATGATAACTCTTTCTGCCAATTGTAACAAACCACTGGTGTCAGTTATTGCTTTGGGGGAGGGAAAAAAAAAGCAAAAGAAAAAAAAAAGAGAAAGAAAAAGAAAATCTTTTAATACTTAGCTGACAGCTTTATCCGAAAGCGAGGAGAAAACCCTGGCTTTTCAAAACCACCCGCCACATTTGTAACAGCCTCTTCCGCGAGTTCATGTATCTTCTTTATTGTTCTTCATGAACAGCCTATTGGATGTCTCCAGCTTGCAATGTGAAAAATGAAAGAATTTCCTCCCATCCATGCCTCTCTTATCTCATAATTGTTTTGTTCTGAGAGGTAGCAGAGACCTGTATAAGTGTCTCTACTGTTTTATTTTGTCCTTTCCAAGCCCATTCATGCTCTTCTCTGGGCCTTTGACTCCTTCCGTTCCGTTTATGCCTGAATGTGAATCTCCATTTACTTCTCTCCACATCACACCCAGCTCAGCTGTTAGAGATTTCATTTCAGAGAGTGAGGCAAGCGCAGTAAGAAGCAAAGTCAGGTGAAATCTCAGGGTCGTTTTGATTTGCATTTCCCTGATGGCTAATGAGGTTGAGCATTTCTTTAAGTGTTTCTCTGCCATTCTATATTCCTCTACAGAGAATTCTCTGTTTAGCTCTGCTCCCCATTTTTTAATTGGATTACTTGGTTTGTTGCTTTTCAGCTTCTTTAGTTCTTTATATATACTGGATATTAGCCCTCTGTCAGATAAAAGGTTAGTGAAGATTCTTTCCCAATCTGTGGGCAGTCATTTTGTTTTGATGACTGTGTCTTCCCATCAGAATGGCCAAGATGAAAAACTCAAGTGACAACACATGCTGGAGAGGTTGTGGAGAAAGGGGAACCCTCCTCCATTGCTGGTGGGAATGTAAACTGGTACAACCACTTTGGAAGTCAATCTGGCGCTTTCTCAGACAACTAGGAATAGTGCTTCCTCAAGACCCAGCTATACCACTGCTAGGCATATACCCAAAATTTGCTCAAGTACACAATAAGGACATTTGCTCAACCATGTTTATAGCAGCTTTATTTGTAATAGCCAGAACCTGGAAACAACCCAGATGTCCATCAACGGAGGAATGGGTACAGAAATTGTGGTATTTTTACACAATGGAATACTACTCAGCAATCAAAAAAGAGGAAATCATGAAATTTGCAGGCAAATGGTGGGATCTAGAAAAGATCATTCTGAGTGAAGTATCCCAGAAGGAGAAAGACAAATATGGAATATACTCGCTTATATAGACCTAAAAGATATGATAAACATAATGAAATCTATACACCTAAAGAAGATAATCAAGAAAGCGGACACGAGGTATGATGACAAATGGGATATGCATTGAACGTATGACAGGAGTCTACCGCAGAAGGCATCTGAAAGACTCTACTTAGCAGTGTATCAAAGTAGATACTAAGACTCATAACCAAACCCTCGGCAGAGTGCAGGGAATCATATGAAAGAAGGGGAGTTTGATGTGGAAAGGATAGGAGCTCCACAAGGACCAAACATATCTGGGCACAGGGTCTTTTCTGAGATGGACACTCAACCAAGGACCATGAGAGGATAAAACCTAGAACCTCTGCTCGGATGTGACCCATGATAGCTCAGTAATCAATTGGTTTCCCATAGTAAGGGGAACAAGGACTATTTCTAACAGGAACTCAATGACTGGCTCTTTGACCTCCCCACCTCCCAAGGGAGGAGCAGTACTGTTAGGCCACAGAGGAGGACTCTGCAGCCAGTCCTGAAAATACCTGACAAAACGGAGTCATATGAAAGGGGAGGAGGTCCTCCCCTATCAGTGGACTTGGAAAGGGGCAGGGAGGAGACGAGGGAGGGAGGGTGGGCCTGGGGAGGGAATGAGGGATACAGTTGGGATACAGAATTAACAAAATGTAACTAATGAGAAAAATAAAATTTAAAAAAAAGAAAAAAAAAGAAGCAAAGTCATTGGAAAAGCCACTTCCCAACTGTCTGCGATGGGTGGGGTGAAGGGAGGAGTGTTTACATGGTTCCATGGTTCCATGGTTACTTGGGAGTGGTCCACCTCCCATCACCCACCTTCATGGCAAGAGCATGCAGCTGTTCCCCTTCTCCACTCTCCCAGGGGCCCAGCAAACCCAGTGCTTCTGTGCTTTGTTTCACCTTCGAAGACCCCTCATCTCTCTCTGAATTCCACCTGCTCAGCGTCCCTAAAAACCTGACGTTTTCCCTTGTCAGCCACAAACAGGACTGAGTTTCCAGAAGTGTGGCCAACGGAGGAGGTAGACTCTTATAAAAGTGATGGATTATCCTGTGGGTGTGACCAATTCGTGCTTCAGAAAAGGGCCACGGAAGGAGCTCTTCGTGGAAAACATGGAAACCGTTTCCTACATCTCAATGGCATGAAACAAAGCAATTTTCTCTGCCCGGTGCCTTCAACACAAAGGTCTAGGCGATGCAGTCCATGCACAGGACATTAGAACATGCCCATCAGTTAGTTTTTCCATGATAATGCTCTGTAGGACATAATCCCCCAAGTCTCAGAGCCTCACAGTGAAAGCCTTTCTTTCCAATCAGGGCTTTGCAGGTTCTCTGGGGTTGGCTGCACTGAGCTAAGCATGAGTTCGGGCTGCTGCTTGAGTCTCTCCCTTCTACAACTGTGGCTCATCCAGGTGATCTCATGCAGAGAGGAGAAGCACAAGAATGCAGACACATGAAGCCCAAGCCTGGGCACACTCTCACCTCCATGTACTGTTCCCAAGGTGAGAAGGGATACACCACCCTGGAGAGAAAGAAAGGGGGCAGGGGACACTGAGTGATTATTTACTCAATAATAATCCAATCTGGAGCTAGGGAGCATTCAGCCAAGTAAACAAAAGGACCCGAGTTTGGTTCCTAGCACCCAAGCAAAGAGGCCAGGCATGATGGCGCACGATGGCATAGGTACATCCACAACCGCAGTAGTGAGGAGGCAGACAGAATGATCCCAGAGCTCATCAGCAGCCAGTGTAGCTTAATCAGTGATCCCCGGTTCCCAGTGAGAGACACTGCCTCAAAACACAGTGTAGGCAACTACTGCAAACAGTATCTAAAGTTTACTTCTGCCCCCCCACATGCACATACATGTGTGAACACACACACACACATGAACACACATACACACACCAAATGACCCAGTCTGCTAAAGTTGCCAGAGGTGTGTTTGTGTGTAGATTTGGGGGGTAGGGGACCCTCTAAAAGACAAGAAGTAATAAACCTTTGAGGTGGGACCGTCTGTTCTTCCTACTTTCCCCTGCTGATTGAAACTACCCTCCAAAGACATTTCAGAATCATTTTTGGATGTGCAGACATTTCAATCTGATAGTAACTTCAAAGGTCATCTAGCCCCAAAGCCTCGCAAAAGGAAATTCCCAGTATCGCCTCCACTGATGAGGAGATCACTTCCTTTAAGGTCTGCTACACACACACACACACACACACACACACACACACACCACACACACCACACACACACACACACACACACACACACACACACAACATCATCTCTTTCTACAATATGGCAGTGCCCCAGCATCCTTCTGGCAGCTGTTAGGGATCCCAAGCCTTCTGTCTAGTTATCCTTGCCAACTGGACACAGCCTAGAGTCATCTAAGAGGAAAGCATAAATCAGATTGGCTTTCGGGCCTATCTGTGGGGAGAGGTCTTGACTGCTAATTGATGTAGGAGGGCCCAGCCCACAGTGGGTGACATCATCCCTGGGCAGGTGGTCCTGAGCTGTATAACAAAGCCAGCTAAGCATGAACCCATGATTGAGCCAGCAAGCTGAGTCCCTCTATGGTTTCTGCTCCAACTTCCTGTTCGGATTCCCCTCCACCATGGAGGGGAATCCTTTCTTCCCATAAGCTGCTTTTTTTAAATTTTTTTGTCAGTATTTTATCACAGCAACACCAAGGACACTGAGACACTTCCCGCCCACCAAGTGAGAAATATAATGCTGAGTTGCTTTTCCTTAAAGCCCTGGTTTCCAGCCACCATGTTTCCTACACTGTGTAATTCTGTTGTTGTGTTAATATGACAAGAGCCTATGTCTGTGCCCCGTGCTCCAAAACACCAGTCAGCAAGTGACGTCACAGAGCACAAAACATTCTTATACACACTGCTCAGCTACTTAGCTGTTTCCCATCTATGAACTATTGTATAAGTTGCTCCCCACTGGGTTTGGGACACAGCAGCAAATATATCTAACGTGGCCCAGCTCACGTGAAGGCTACTTGGAGACACAGATGTGTGTGTGTGTGTGTGTGTGTGTGTGTGTGTGTGTGTGTGTGTGTGTAATATGGAAAGGTGAACACCATATCCAGGGTAGACTTCTCTAAAGGGGCAACACCTGGGCTGAGACCTGAAGCACAGAAAGGAAGCTGGCCAAGGGAATAACGGAGTGTAGGACATTCAAGGGCATCTAGCTGAGCAGCCCTGGGTCGTTAGTTTGGGAAAGAGCCCGGGGTTTTCAGAAACTGAAGCAGGATGAGCAGAGAGGAAGCACCGCAATGGCAAGATGGAGGTCCATAGATATGGCCGGCTGTGGAAGGAGCCCAGAGCTTATTCTGCACAATAGAAAGACCCTGGTGCAGTTGAAGTAGGGAAGGGTATGACATCACCTAGATCCAAAGCAATCTCCCACGTTTTCTGTCCATGCTGCATCTGTGAAGAGAAAGCCTAGCCAAAGGATCTGATAAACTAGGCCCCATTAATCCATCCTGCTATCCAGCAAGCTCTGCCTTTCCCCCAGGACATACATGGCAGCCACACTTGCTCCATGGCTTTATACAAACTAAGAGACCGCATAAATATAAAGCAATGAGCAACAGCACCCCCAGGAGAGAGAGAGAGTATAACAGTCTGACAGGAGAACTGAAAGGCAGAGCCTTCAGGGGCTATGATTGTTTTTCAGGGCCAAGCAGTTCCTCTTCTCAAATGGCCAGCCCACCCAGAAGCTGGGAATAAATCTTAGGTGACAAGAACTGGGTGTGCAAAGGTGCACACTCAGGAACCCCATAAGGAGAGCATCTGTCCTGGTGGGCCACACACAGCTGCTGCCTCTTCCCATATGGTCTTGCCCTGTCCAGGAGGTCCAGCTTTATGACATGCTTCTCATCCCAGGCCATCTATATATCAGTCAAGACGGCCTGCTTGGTGGCCTAGGGCTATACAAAGATGTCAGTGATTCGAACTTCTCCCCCACTGTGACTACCACTGCCACTGTCATCACTGACCACTTTGTGAGCCTTGATGATATGGGGAGGATGTGTGAAGTCAACTGTCTTTAAGGTTCAGACCATTAGCCAAAGAGACTTGACTGAAAGAAGAACGATCAGTGCAAATAAAACAGGCTCTGACTCACTGAGCATAGTTACAGCCTCAGTGTTATCACAACTAGGAGGGACCCTAGATAGACGAGGACACTCCAGGAGCCTTGAGAAGTCCAGATGACAGCTATGGATGCAGATAGGGAACAGGCAGATGTATACAGATAGATGTAGACATATAGATACAGGTGATAAAGCCATGGATTAGGCAGATGTAGATACAGATTTAGAATGATAGATTGATAGATAGATGATAGAGATAGATAGATAGATAGATAGATAGATAGATAGATAGATAGATAGATAGATAGATAGATGAATGGATACCTTCCTTAATTGTCTTTTGTTGTTGATGATGGAATATGGCCTGTCTCAAGAATCAAGGAACTCTGGGAAATGGCTATCATAACCGGGAACCACATCAAAGGACAGCCACAGCTCTTGCAGAGGGCCTGTGTAGCAGCAGGACATTGGTGCCACTCCATTCCTTCCTTTGACGCCTGTCCTGCCCAGGTCAAAGTGGCTCTGTCACAGCATCAGATCACATCACTCCCTATTTGTCACTTTGGTTATGGACCATCTCTCCAGCCCATCACTCCCTCCTGACCTTGGTTCACAGATGTACAGAGTTCAGGGAACCAAACCCAAATCGCTGAGGTAGCATTCCCATCAGTCCACTCCATCATGTTCTTCAAAGGGGGGAAACGAGTTTCCAGTGTGTGTGTGTGTGTGTGTGTGTGTGTGTTAGATATATAACAAAGTAAAAATATTCTACACAGCAATATAACCAAAAAGTACGGATATATGCACGTTACATAGAGTAGATAGATGAAAGGCATTTCTAAGTTTCCATTTTGCGTGCATCCGTCTGCTTCCACATTCATGGGGACCTTCTATACTAGGCAGAGCATAGAATCTATGTGTCCAGATACTGTCTGGTTCATACAACTGATCTGACGTTTCTTTATTCTATTTTTTTCTGTGTATCTGTTTTCTCATTCTTTGTGTGAACATATGATGACAGTGTATCAAAGGGAAGAAGAAGGGACAGCTTCAAAGCTGGCCTTCTTGGCCTGGGGTGAACTCTGTCCCCATTTCCCCTGCCCCTTCTCCCAAGCTCCTGCACTCAGCAAAGCCCTTTTGAGGGAAACCTTCAGTCTTCTGCTGGTGCGTCATAGCCTCGGTTTCCATCTCCATTATTCTCCGCTGATCTCGGTGTCTGTTCATTGCTCACAAGATGCCGCCTCCCCTCCTAGGCTCTAGGAACTCTCAGATCTAGGGTTGGACAGCTGTGCAGGGCCCCATGGTCTCACAGAGGCAACGGTGCTCTTTGGTTCACCCAGCAGTGGAGAGGCAGCAAAGGTGCTAACTGGAATTTCTGCTCAGTGAGTTGATCCCGATGATAAATAAGTTCTTTTCTCCAAAGACCTGATATCTGTCTGCTCATTCCAATACACAAAATTGTTCGTTTAAGAAAACCTCCATATTGACATGAAGTAGGTAGGGACAGTAACCCCATTTTGCAGACTGGAGAAGCAAGGTGTAGAAGGGGACTAGAGCTTGTGAGCATGGGCAGTGCAAGTGTCCATGGAAAGCATCCTACTTAGCAATTGTAGTCCCATGCTGAGCGAAGGACCAGAGCCCTCCTCTAGGTCCCCAGGGATCTGTATTGAATATAGGGAGCTCTGTGGCCACCTACCTTCTCTCTGAACTCCTTGGGGATCAGTCCGAGTATCAATCCTTCCCTCTTCTCTGTCCTCCTAGGACCTAGAAGAGCAAGAAAAGGGACCCTTGACATGTAGATCATCAGAATGCTTGCAAAACATTTTCTCTACTGCAGGATCTCCCACTTGCCCAAGTGAGGTTTCCAGGCCATCTTCTGTTCTGCCTCCAACTGTCAGAGCTCCCAGCCTCCAGGTAACCATGGTAATCACCAGCATTCACAACAGCAGTGACAGGAGCCTCAGCAGGCCCATTCTGACCTGCTCTGTGCAGATGGGGTACCTTCTTCCTGAAGCTTCTGTGGAGAGCGGTGGGTAGGCACACATCCAGCATCTATCCCTTCATACACCTGCTGCCTCTGTTCAGTAGCTGCTGAGTGAATCTGTCTCCCAGACTCAAGAGCCAGTGCAGGAAGGGGAGGGTGGGCCTTGAGCCTCCTGCTGTTAGAGTAGGGCTTGGCTCATAAGAGAGCTAGGATGTGGTCCAAGAACAGAGAGGGCATGTAGGTGGTAGCCTAGAACGAAGGGTTTTGCTCTGAACACCCACCATTTCCAGTCTTATCCATGCTTCCAGAAGGAGCCAAGCACATAGGAGGCTAGTGCAACTGAGTGAGTGGGAGGCCTATCATGCCCAAGAGACAAGGCCGCCCACTAGCTATCCTATGTTCCCCTTACACAAAGCAGAGCACACCGGCACACCATGGGTGCTTGCCCCACACCCGACTTCCGTGCCATCAGCAACACTGGCCGCCCTCTTCAGTTTCTTCAGTCTGTTCTCCAAGCTTTTTCCAAGTTCTCTCACACTGGCAGGACATCTACCAGCCTGGCCTCACTTTGCCTCTGTCTTCTCCCTTCCTAGTAGGCACTCCAGGCAGCCCAAACTCAAGGCCCACAAAATAGGGGTGGGAATGCTCTGACAACCCTGCCAGAAACTAAGGATTTCCAGGCCCAGTTTCTTCGGAGACATCTTTAAATGGAAAGCGCAAATGGGAAGAGAGGGGGTTCCTTAAGAACGTTCCCTCCCCTGCTGCCAAAGCCCTGGTTTCTTGCTAGTCTGCTTCGCTGCCCCAGAGCCCAGTGCGGGTGCTCTAGAACGCCTCAATGCTCCCTCTAGCGGCGAATGTCTTGCACAGAGTCTGCAACAGCTCTCCCTGCCAGGACCTCGCAAGGCTACTGTACAAGCATTTGCAAAAACAGGCCCCTTCAGCTAGATCCCCTAGCCTGGGAGAAAGATCCACTCTATTCTACCATGATCAGGCAAGACAGGAACGAGGAAGACTGCTCAGCCTGCCTCAAACTGAGGTGTCCAGCAAATGCAAACACTTGAGCTGCCTCACCAAGCCAACTTGGTGAGTCTGCTTGCTTGCTTATTTGTTTGCTTTAACCAACACTAACTTCCCAGGATGTTCTCCTGGAAAAGGAGCCAGATCCCAGACTTCTGGCACCTCTAGGTGATCGCTGTGTGCCCCACCCTCAACCCTGGAGAGGCTCATATCTACACCTCCATCACCCACAGAGCAGATGTCGGCTGAAGTCATCTAAGAATTCTTTTGGTGTATTTGCTTAGACTAAAGATGTTTCTGAGCACACATTCTACTCTTGTAGACCCTCCAGAATGCCCAGTTTGTGCCCACTGAGCAACACCCTATTTCTACCCCTTACACACCTCTTTGCCACACTGCTGGCCACACACCAGCTCGGCTCTTGAAAGATAACCACCCCACCTGACTCATCTCTGGATCACGGGTTCCAAAATATTTAAATGTAAGATGAAAGGGAGGAGAGAGGGAAAGAGGAAGGGGTGATCAGTTACCCACATCTAATCAGAGTTGGCGTTTGACATAAAGCCCCCCTCGCTGCCTGTTCAGTCATGCTGTCATCTGAGAGCCAGCCTGCTCTCACTTTAATTCAATAAATTAATTAATTCGAACAGCTTTATTGAAATATAATTCACATACCATTAGAATTCACCCACCGAAAACATAACTCTGTAGTTTTTAGTATATGCAAAAAGTTGAGCATCCATCATCACCATCCATTTTAGAACATTTTCATTACTCCAAATAGAAATGCCACATCCATTAGCAGTCATTCCAAGTTCCTTCCAAACCCCACAGCTCAAGGCTACAAGTAATCTACTTTCTGTCTACTTCTGACTGGCATCCTACATGGCTAACTTCTTTCTCAGCATGTTTCGGGGTCCATTAATACTGTGATAGGTATCAGCATTTCCTTTTTAATTGTGAAATGATACTTGGTTGTGTAGATTCTACATTATATACATATAATTCATGCATTCATCCATTGATATATGACTGGGTTACATCTACTTTGGGCTATATTGTGAGTGAGCCAAATGAATATATGCAATGATGAATAATCAAAATTAGTATTTTTATGGTATTAAGAACACATGCTCTCCTTTCTCCCACCAAGAATAAGAGGCAGTCTACCATAAAAGATGATCATGATATGGTAAAATATAACAGCATTGCAGAACATCTGTATTTAATTTTGAATTTTCTGTATAAGGCAAAATGTAAAGTATTTTCAGATAACATCTATTTCAAACAGGAAAACTGTGTGCTAATTTTCGCATGACAATTGAGTCCATGTTTATGCTTAAACAGCTGAGAAAAAAACAGAATAAGCATAAGAAATTTTAGTGACAAACTTGCCCATTGTCACCACTGTGGGGCTGGAGCCACATCTAGAATTAGGGCAGCAAAGCTGTCTTGTGTTTCCCCTCAATCTTAGCACCTCTTCCCAACTGTCACCATCACCTGCTTGTTTCAATTCATGGGCTCAAAATTGGTGACACTGAAGGAGACACACACAGCATTACCCTCATGGTGGGTCTCATGGCCCAGGCAGGGAGCCAGGCCATGGGGAATTGGACAAGCATGTCTTTCCACAATGTGGAGCACAGTGAGTAATATACAAGGAAGCTGTGCCTGGTCTATCACAGTGGACAGAGAAGAAACTCCCAGGGAGTGGCCGGACAGACCTAAGAAAGATATATATTGCCAGGGAAAGAATGGTGCTCACTGCAGAGAAGGCCACAAGCAGGCAAATGCAGTTCAAACAGATGGAAGCCATTGGAATGTAGTTTAGGGCTAAGGATGTTTGCCTAGCAGGCATGAGGCCCTGCAATCCAATCTCCGGCCTAGTAAAGGGAGTTGGGGTAGTGTAGCCAAGAACAGGATGGAGCCACTGCAGAGGGAAAGTAGGAGGAAGGAAGCACAGGACAGAGTCCCAGAGATACTCAAGAGCCTTGCATATCTGGACACAGAGTTCAGATATTATTCTAAGTGTAGCAGGAATTCAGTGATGAGTTTTGACAAGGTGAGTGTTCTGGTCCAACTTCAGTTTTAAGAAGACTTCCATGTTGAGAATGAACCAGAGAGTGGATTCTGGAAGCAGAATCAACAGGACTTCCAGGTGTGTTGGCATACACCTGTAATCTCAGCACTTGGGAGGTGGAGGCAGGAGGAGGCCATCTTCAGCTACAATACGAAATTTGAGGCCCAACTGAGATGCGTGAGAAGTCATCCCAATTTAAAAAAAAGAGAGAAAAAAAGAAAGAAAGAAATGAGAAAAGAAAAAAGTATTATTAGCAAAGGGATTGGCTGATGAGTGGGCTATCAGGTCAAAGGCAATAGGGTAGAAACAGGAGGGAAAGGTCCCAGTAGGCTTCTAGATCCTGGCTCATGGGAGCAGGACCTCCTGAGATGGAAAGATAGGAAGAGAGATGATTTGATGAAATATCCAGAGCTCTCTTAAAAAAGACAGTTGCTTTAAGATCTTGTGCAGCAACCACTCAGAGACTCCAAGCATGTGGCTACATGCAGGAGACTAGAGAACCAAGAGGAAGCCCTCCTGGAGAGGAAACTTGAGGCAGGGGGAGTGGGTGGGGAGAGTAAGAATGAGGCAAACATTTTTTAGGCCTGGGTACAGATGAGATTTTTTTTTTTTTTTTTTGAGGCTAGATCACTGAAGTTCCTGAAGCTTTTTCTTCAGAATATGTTCTATATTTTATCTTCCAGGTGCCAAAGCAATAAGTCACTTCCATGCATTTGATGACGGGGATGGGGGCGGCTCATAGGTGAGCCTGGCTGTTGGATGCCATGTAAATTTCACAGTAAGTGTTTCTTCAGCCAGTCATGAGTATCTTTCAATACAAGGCACATAAAACATTCACGTTCCCTGGCCAGATGATAGTAAAATGGGGACTTGGCAGCTGGCCTGACTCCAGACAGCATGTAGGCTAGTCCCCAACATGGTGGGGAGGGGGGAAATGTCCTATCACAGTTAGATGGCATTTCAACAGGTTACCACAGCAACAGGGAAGTTATCACAACACAACCATGGCTAACCAGCAGTGAGGATCAGGATGACACATTTGAGACAGTGAGGAAACAAGAGACTAAAATTCCATGCGTCCATACTCCATCATGAAAGAGAAAATGGGTCCAGCCAGATCTGACCACAGGCTCATCACCACTACCACCTCTGCCATCATCATTGTCGTTATTAATCTTGCGACAGAAGAGATGTGCTGCATTTTTTACATTCTGTGGGGAAACCCCAAGTCCTTATTTTCCAAAGGAATCATTCCCCCTGGCTCCTGAAGAAAGATGGTATACTATTATATTTCTGAGACACAGTCACAGTCCTTTCATTATTTTCCCAGAAAATCTGGGTGAAAAGATCCCTTAAGAATCTCAGTCCAGAGATTAAACAACTGTACCTTTACTGTCTACAAGCAGGATGACCCAGCCACCTCTCAGCCACAGGTTCCCTGCATGGGAGGGAGTAAGCACATGCTGAGCTGGGGGGAAAAATAAAAGAATTAGCTGGGTCACGTTTCAATCCAGCTTTGTCCAATCAGTCCTTGAATGATGAGGGTGATTCAGATATAAACGAACTAGTGTCAGCTGGGTTTTAGTTTATGGAGGGGAAAAAAGACGTCATCCATCACCCAGTTGTCAGTTATTGATCACCACGATGGACCGAGACCCAAAGGTGGATGACACAGGAATGGGG